GGGTTATATTTGATTTCTGTATACATTGTTCATTAAGGCAATTAGTGTAAACTGATACACTAATTGTTTGACCTACAGCATCACTGAAGATACTTTATTGTCTAAATGCGTATCTGGAACAACCGTAGTAGGTTCATGAGATGTTAAAAGCTCTCGACAGCAACAAATGCAATAAGTCGGACGACACTAACATTAGTACTCCTATCTATGTTGATGGGGTTTAACGCCGTACACAAACGCCTAATCTCAGAAGTCGAACAGTTTGGCACAAATTGAAGAAAAAATGGTGCATTTGGTTTTTTAAGTCAGTATACGTGGTACATGTAAAGATGTTTCATAAATATTTTAACTTTACAATATAAAATCTGTGTATGTCTTACAATAATAATAATTACTGGAGGAACATATTTTTTATGTCAGTTTTGTATCAAACTTTATATCTATAAATAAAGTACACTTAATAAAGTGACACTGGATGTTCTCTCTCAAAACGTATCAAGTTTTTATAGATAGGGCACATTCTGGGCGTTTTTTTGTTTTTGTTTTTGTTTATTTTTAATAAAGACATGATTGGGCGTTCGTACAAAGGACACGTTTGGAGTGCGGGTATGTCAAATATACAATGTATACATGTATTGTTTCAAATAGCCAATGGTCTAAGTTGATAGCACTATCAAATTTACCATTAAACTTGAAAAAATATATTTTAATATATCTAAAGATTTAAATTCAATAATGAGTTCAAGCTTAATTTACTTATAACAGAAATATTCAATAAGCAAATAGCTATTATCCAATAAACAGCCATTGAAGTAACACAGGTCATGTTTGAAAATCAAAACTGCATAATTATATACATGTGTTGTAGTGGTATCGATATCTTAGAACATTAAAATGAAACAGAATAATATCATTTAGCACATCATTATATAAATATTTATTTTGGCTGACGAAGTAGTTATATGTGTAAATAAATCATTTTTAAACTGACAAACTGTGATGTGTCGTTTTATTTTTCTTGTCGTTAAGTGAGTTTGATTTGAACACACTGTTTCACACTGGTTGTAATTGCTATGTAGCGTTTTCCACAGGCTAAAGATTTTGAATTCTAATAGTTTGACAATAATATTTACTGTTTTGAGTTAATGTTCCGCGGCTTTTGATAAATCGCCTTATCAGACCATCAATTACAAATTCAATTGTTAGTACACAAAACTGAAAATAGCGTTTGGTCATTTTTTAAAATAGTCTTTAATAAAGCTAGATAAAACATTTTGATATTCGCTATTGGTTTCGTCCAAGTGTATGCCCTATTAGTGTTGCCTGTGATTTGAAATCCCTATTATCTTTTTTAAAAATGTTTTTTTTTACCGTAAATGTATATAACAATAAGCAGACGTGGTATGATTGCCAAAATGAGACAGCTCTCATACAAGGACCAAATGAAGTTAAAGTTAGCAACTTTAAGTCACTGTACGACTTTGAACAATGAGCAAAATTCAAGCCGCATAGCAAGTAATTAGAAGCACCGACATTGTGAAAAGTAGAAATTAGAAGTTAATTTAAATAAAACAAAGATTATGGTTTCTAGTAAGAGGAAAAGTAAAAAGAATTTTGAATTTTTATTACAAGACAAAGTACTTGAGATTGTTGAAATATTTTCTTATTTAGGTGTTATCTTTAAATATAACGGTACTTTTTTAGATACCAAAAAGAAACTTATTGATCAAGCGAAAAAATCGATGCATGTTATACATAGAATTGTTAGAAATGAAAACATGCCTATAGATTTACATCAAAATTATTTGATTCTATGATAGAACCAATTCTTTTATATGGTTCTGAAGTTTGGGGTTTTGAGAATTTGAAAATTATTGAACAGATGCATTTGCAATTTATTAAAAAGTTCGAAATACTACACCCAATTTTATGTTGTATGGAGAATTGGGAAGATTTCCTCTGAAATTCGAGTTAAATGTAGAATGATTCTGTATTGGTGTAAAGTTGTAAACAATAGCAGTAAACTCAGTAGTGTTTTGTACAGGCTGATGTTATCATTGAAGAATCATGGTCATTATGTATTCAAATGGATTAATTCTGTAGAATCAATATTTAACAACACTGGTATAGGATAAATCTTCATGAATCAGATTGGCTTTTGTGATAAAAATTATCTCGATCGAATATTGAGTGATCAGTTTATTACCTCATGGTTTGGCGATATAGCAAATTCATTTCGGGACAATTTTATGGGACACTTAAAAAGGACTTTGGCTTAGAAAAATATCTGATCAGACTATCTGAACAGAATAGAGGCTTGGTAACAAAATTAAGGACATCGAACTTACGTATTCCAATCGAGACAGGGCGTTGGCAAAATATACCTACGCCAGAGAGAATGTGTACTTTATGTCATAAATTTGTTGGTGATGAATTTCATGTTTTATTTGTATGTCAACATAATTCTATTGTTAGTTATAGAAACCAATACTTACCTAGTTACTATACTATTAATCCGCAATACATTAAAATGGAAGGATTATTGTCCATATGGAATATGGTTGTCTACAAACGACTTTCAATTTTTATTTTTAAAAGAAAATTGCTTGTTTATTCTAAAATATTTACAAATGTATTTCTATGTGTTTAAAAAGTACTGCATGCTCATTTTGTCATTTAATTTTTTATGTATTATACTTTGACCTCATGTTACACATTTATGTGTCTGAGCGTTATCAATAAATCTTGAAATCTTGACATGACAAATGTACAACAACTTTCAAACAAGGACCAAATGAAGTTAGAGTTAGCAGCTATAGGTCAATGTACGACTTTCAACACAGAGCAAAATCCACGCCGTATAGCAAGTAAGTAAAAGCACCTGCATGACAAATGTAAAACTACTCAATCGAGAAAACTAACGGCCTGATGTAGGTACAAAACAATAAACGAAAAAAAAATTGATTTGAAGCAACAAACAACAACCATTGGATTACAGGCTTCTGACTTTGAACAGATTCACACATTTCAAAAAAAAAAACCAAACAAACAAAAGATTTAAGTCACAGAGTATGAATCTGATAGCATTTGCAGTTATTGAAAGCTAGGCCAAAGCAATAACAACTAACAAAAAAGCATGCATCCTGAACTAAATATCAACCAATACACATCCAATGGATTTAGTGATATGACTTCAGAGAAAAACATGGAGTATATTTAAACAAAAATCTCTCCCATATGTCGGGCGGTGCATGCGATCCTTATCAACAACAAACATGGTTGTACCTACTATCATTGCTGAAAATGTACCGTTTTATGTGAAATTGGAAGTCCTATCCAACAGAGTTTATAGTTTTTTTCTAAGTTATTTTGAGCTATTACACTGATGTCATAGGTTTGAAGAAGGTTGATCGCCCATTTAACGTTTAACCTCGCCACGTTTTTATTCATCTGTCCCATACCAGGAGCGTACATATTATACTGCGGTAATATTATTTCTAAAAGACCATATGTCCGTATGTCCATATGTGTTTACTGAATGCAATCCTCTGTATCTCTTTCAATAAGATATCGAAAATAATAAAAGTGTAATATTTTTCTTCGATGGGTCTGTAATGTAATGTCATAAGGGCGTGACGTCATATATCGAATGACGTCGTAGTTGGGCATGTGCCGTCATAGACGTCACGTGGACGTTTTCCTGACACACGAAATGCAACCATATTCATAGTAGCGGTAGCAAGAGGGTTCATGGTTGTGTTTCCAATTTTATTATAAATTAGACCGTTATTTTTTTCTTTTTGACTGTTGCACATTGCGTCATACTAGTTCCATATGTTTAATTATGCAAGCTTCTAATCATTGCTGTATCTTCACCAAATAAAATACCGAAGATTAAAGATCATTAAAACATGTAATGGCTGTAATATTTTTCTCCAACAGGGCCCCCAATGTAACGTCATTAGGGCAATACGTCGTATATCAAATGACGTCATTGTTGGTAATGTGACGTCACAGACGTCCAGCTATTGTATTTTCAGGCACACGGAATGTAACCATATACAATTAGCGGCAACAAGAAAAGAGGGTTAAACTTTAACATATGAATTTGAATCAATACTGTTTGGCGTTTGAACAATTTTGAAAACAATGTAGATATCTGAAGTATTTATAACAAGAAAAACAGTGTCGGAAGATAACCGTCAAGCACAGGCAAACAGTTCACTTTAATGCGCCAAGATCATTAATGAAATTTTGTAGAATTTTATTTTATTTATACACTTTTCCAAGCTCTAATGCATTATTTCTTTTTTTTTTGTGATGCATTATAATAGGAATAACAGTTCGGGATTGTTTTTGTTTCAATATTTTTAGAACCCCGGGATCCTATGCGTGTATCTAGCATGAATAGGTTACGAAAGAAGTTTCGACAACATCGTTTATCAATGTGTAAACCAAGGGAAAAATTCCAATGAACCAATCCCATTCAAATATTTGAAGATATGCAAATCATATAAGAATTATCATTGTTTGTAATTTATATTGTATTCCATTTGGTATAACCTGCACCAGGAACACCCAAAGTCAAAACCCCGAAAGCTAGATGTACAAATACCGAGCCACGTCAAGAGTCATACGACCAAAATGATTATAAGATCATAAAATGAACATAAGATCATAAAAGGAAGATAAGATCAATAATGTTTTTTCAATTGGCAATTATTGATTATATCAAAAGGTCGTTTGCACCTTGAAAAATAATTCAAATCAGTAGTCAATCATGTGTCTGGTCCATTTCTATATGTTTTTAATATTTTGATTGTTTTTCTGTGGATAGGGGGAAAAATTGACCTTTCAATTTTCAATGTTGTAATAAAATTCGTCATAATAGAATAGCAAGCGTTTAACTGTAAAGGTAAAATTATATACTAGTATATTGTTGTTATGCACAGATCAGTACAATTTTAAATGCCGAATTTTATTCTAAATAGCTGAACACCCTCAAACTGGTTTGAAAAGTATTTAACAGACTTTATACTTCCTTGTTGAAAATGTCTTTATTTTCATATCTCATTATTTGGACATATACATTTGTCATTGGAGGTAGGCAAACTAACTTCTAACAGATAAGATATGATCATAAAACGATACCTGCAATAACAATACTAATTGTGAGAAACTCGCTTTTAATTTACGCTTGGTGCCATCATGTCACTCAGCAAAAAGGCGCTCTCCACCAGAGACCAAATGACGTTAGCAACTATAGGTCACCGTATGGCCTTCAAAAACGAGCAAAACCCTCACCGTATAGCAAGCTTTAAAAGGCCCCGAAATGAAAAATGTAAATCAATCCAAACAAAAAAACTACAGGCATGATTTTAATTGATTTATGTACACAACAATAAACAAAAACCAAATATGACAAACAGCAATAACCGACAACAACTGAATTACAGGTTCCTGACTTATTTCAAGACTGTTATGCTCCCATCTAATATACGATTCTTCTCTTAATTATCAAATGGCAAAATCAAAAGTTCAAACACATCAAACGAATGGAAAACAATTGTCATTAAACATTCAAACAAACAGTAAAATACCCCTATGCTATCAATATATTCTTGAATGCGCGATTTTTTCGAATCGTAACCTCAATCCGGTCGTCTTTCCCTCGATTGTGACATCACCGAATACGATTGATCACCGGATCACCACATGTTGTGAAGTTGACAAAATATGATACTTGCAACTGGATAATGCTCAGTTTCCCTCTTTTATTGCTATAACAAATAAAATGGAGAGCTAAAATTTATGATAATGACTTGTCATAAAATTGAGCTGCGTCGGATAGAAATCGACCGTATGCAAATGAATATCAATATATCTGTTAACCTAATTCGGTTATAAATATTCTCTACGGAAAGTTTGTAACTGTTTGAAAATTGAGTTGTTGTAAGAACCCTACAAAAACAGACCAAAGTTCATCTTTTTTTTTCTTTGTTAATGAATCCAACTTTTCAGTAAAATCTTCTTCGTATATTAGTTTGCCTCTTGAGTCAAAAATGCATTAATATTTATCAACATCAGATTTTGAAATGCGAATGATCGGAAATTGTCCTCACTCTTTTCCATAGAGTTGTGGTTTCAATTGACGTAATATTGTAATGTAGTCATATCATTATGCTCTTTCGATTTTACATAATACGATCTTCACTTTCTATACTATATTCGAAGACAATACCAGAAAAATTCATTTCTGCACAAAAATGTGAGATCCTATCATTTTCCGTTATATTTCTATCACTTAACATTTTACTGTTTCAAGTCAAAACCAAACTATTTCAAGTCATCATATTGTTATTATATCCTAGCATGATAAGATTTGAACGTATCTTTGTCCTTTCTTACAGAATATCGTACCAATAGGCATACACATGGAACTGTTTTAAGTCATTTTTCTGAAATTTCAACTTTGCATTTTAATGTTATCAATTATCATCACAATAATCAATTTCGACATCACACTTGCAAGCCAGCATCATATTGTTGCAAGTCATCACAATGTAATTTAAACTTAACATTACGATATCTCACTAATCATGCAAAACATATTGCTGCCACATGTGAACATCATGTACTTTCAACTTTACATCATGAAGATTCAAGTCAACACATTGTATGATAAGCCTCTCATGATGTCATATTAATATAACATCTTGCTATCTTAGCTCCACATCATAGACTTTCAACAGTACTTCGAGTAGTTTTATTCAAGTAAAGTGTATGGTTAGCCTATCGTGACATTATAATGATAAACCATCGTGCTATATAAGCTTTATATCATGTTCTTAAGTTAAACTTTACATCGTGTAGTTTTAAGTCAACACGTTGTATGACAAGCCTATCGTAACATACAAGTGATATACCATCGTGCTATCTTAACTTAACATCTTATACTTTCATCTGTACATGTTGTAGTTTTGAGTCAACGTATTTTATGATAAGCCTTTCGTAATATTATAGGGATGTACCATCGTGCTATTTTAGCTTAACATCATGTACTTTCAAAGTAACATCGAGCAGTTTTAAATCAACAAATGTACAATATGATAAACCTATCGTAGTATTACAATGATATAGCATTGTTTTATCTCAGTTTCACATTTAGTTATAAGTTAGTTTTATAAAATTTAGCTCTCCATTTAGTTTGTTATCATAGTAATCGAAGTGATTACTGAGCATTATCCAGTTGCAAGTTAACATTAAGTAATGTCAACTTCTGATCATGTAATGTCAACTTAACATCATGTAATATCAACTTCAAATCATATAATGTCAACTTCACATCATGTAATGTCAACTTCACACCATGTAGTTTAAACTCAGTGTAACGTGTGATTGGCATACATTGTATCATCACAACATTGTGACTTATCTTTATACTATCACAACTAAAACACTTGCAATTGGAAGTCTCAACTTAGCATATCGGAATTTAAAGTTAGTATTTTGATGAATCAAATCACCATCGTCCTGTCTAAGCTTTACATAAAATGCTTCAGCATAATGTTTTGTGAATCTCTAATATATGACAGCTGAGGCTTTTAATATTTTGTGATGTCATATGATTGCATGCTATGTTGATACCTTTGAGCATTAGTAAAAAATGTTTAACATTCCTCTCTAATCTTATAATGTTTCTATTCTAATTTTAGATGCTAAAGGAGAGCCTTGTTCTAACACCAAAGGTTTATCAGGTAAATGTACTACATGATTCTTTTTTCTATATTTTAATGCATTTCAACCAAAGCTTTATTGAATTTTAAAAAAGCAAACACAAAAAACGTAAACCGCAATACAATTACAGCTTCGACAGACCTAAATGGTCACCCAAAAAGTTCGACCTTTAAAGTCTTTGTTAAGTTTTGTCTAATACAATGGCGAAAAACGAAAATAAAACAGTCCACAAAACACTACATACAAATTAAAAACTGAACAACACGAACCCCAACAAAAGCCGGGTTCATCTAAAATAGCCATTTCACGTTTAAATACCTGAATGATATGTTCCTTTGTCCAGCATATCCAGCATGTACACTACATAGAGATATGTCATCTGACGGTTACATATGTATGGAAAGCCACAGTGAACCCCCCGATTATTATTATTTTTCCTTTAAAAATACATGGATACAAATAAATCTTCGGCTTTCAGAATCCCGCCGATTATTATCAATTCTAAAATCTTCGGCTTTTCAAAATCTTCGGCTTTCAAAATCTTCGGCTTTTCAAAATCTTCGGCTTTTCAAAATTCACCGCCGATAATTATATTATAAAATCTTCGGCTTTTAAAAGTCTGAAAATCTTCGGCTTTTAAAAGTCTGAAAATCTTCGGCTTTTAAAAGTCTCAAAATCTTCGGCTTTTCAAAATCTTCGGCTTTCAAAATCTTCGGCTTTTCAAAATCTTCGGCTTTTCAAAATCTTCGGCTTTTCAAAATTCACCGCCGATAATTATATTATAAAATCTTCGGCTTTTAAAAGTCTGAAAATCTTCGGCTTTTAAAAGTCTCAAAATCTTCGGCTTTTCAAAATCTTCGGCTTTTCAAAATCTTCGGCTTTCCAAAATCTTCGTCTTTCAAAATTTTCGGCTTTTCATAATCTTCGGCTTTTCAAAATCTTCGGCTTTCCAAAATCTTCGGCTTTCAAAATTTTCGGCTTTTCATAATCTTCGGCTTTTCAAAATCTTCGGCTTTTCAAAATTCACCGCCGATTATTATATTATAAAATCTTCGGCTTTTAAGTCTGACCCCCGCCGATTATTATCAATTGTAAAATCTTCGGCTTTTAATCAAGAGCCCGCAGATTATTTTCAATAATAAAATCTTCGGCTTTTATAAACCAAACCAAAAATAATCCCCGGGACCCGAATATTATGATTGTATAATCTGCGGAGAAATATAAAAATGCAAAGACTTACATCAAATGCAGACGCGGAACCGAGAAATACATTCGAAACTCTCTAGATTTGCATATTCTGGTTCATTACACCAAGAAAGGTTGAGATAGATGGATAGGTGTTATTGTTGAAAAGACAACTGAAAACCTTAAACACGCAAGCACATGCAGACTATAAAGTACGTGTGTATGTATATATTTAAGTGTGTGCGTAATAGTCTGGAAATCCTTTACGCCCCCCCCCCCCCCCCCGGTGACAAAATAGGGGGATATTAATTTACCCCCTGTCCGTCCGTCTGTTCGTCCGGGGGCTTAAAAATTATCCAGACGCTTACGCACACACTTAAATATATACATACACACGTACTTTATAGTCTGCATGTGCTTGCGTGTTTAAGGTTTTCAGTTGTCTTTTCAACAATAACACCTACCTATCTCAACCTTTCTTGGTGTAATGAACCAGAATATGCAAATATAGAGAGTTTTAAATGTATTTCTCTGTTCCGCGTCTTCATTTGATGTAAGTCTTTGCATTTTTATTTTCACGCAGATTATAACAATCATAATATTCGAGTCCCGGAGATTATTTTTGGTTTGGTTTATAAAAACCGAAGATTTGATTATTGATAATAATCGGTGGGCTCTTGATTAAAAGCCAAAGACTGAATAGTGAATAATGAACTATTTCATTATTCATTATTGAATTTTGAATAATGAAAAATGAATAATGGACGTACTTCAGCGCGGTGACTTTATTATTGAAAATAATCTGCGGGCTCTTGATTCAAAGCCGAAGATATTATTATTGAAAATAATCTGCGGGCTGATTAAAAGCCGAAGATTTAACAATTCATAATAATCGGCGGCCATTTGATCAAAAGCCGAAGATTTTATGATATAATAATCGGCGGTGAATTTTGAAAAGCCGAAGATTTGAAAAAGCCGAAGATTTTGAAAAGCCGAAGATTTTGAAAAGCCGAAGATTTTGAAAGCCGAAGATTTTGAAAAGCCGAAGATTTTGAAAGCCGAAGATTTTGAAAGCCGAAGATTTTGAAAAGCCGAAGATTTTGAAAAGCCGAAGATTTTAAAAAGCCGAAGATTTTGAAAGCCGAAGATTTTGAAAAGCCGAAGATTTTGAAAGCCGAAGATTTTGAAAAGCCGAAGATTTTGAGACTTTTAAAAGCCGAAGATTTTCAGACTTTTAAAAGCCGAAGATTTTCAGACTTTTAAAAGCCGAAGATTTTATAATATAATTATCGGCGGTGAATTTTGAAAAGCCGAAGATTTTGAAAAGCCGAAGATTTTGAAAGCCGAAGATTTTGAAAAGCCGAAGATTTTAGAATTGATAATAATCGGCGGGATTCTGAAAGCCGAAGATTTATTTGTATCCATGTATTTTTAAAGGAAAAATAATAATAATCGGGGGGTTCACTGTGGCTTTCCATACATATGTACTATATAAACAGTTTTATCCGATACAAATGCATATATAAAATTTATTAAAAGTCATTGGAATCAGCGTTGTTAACTTTGGTTCTTTATTGAATCGTTGCATGCCGTTTATATACTATCTTGATAGCCTAAAACAGAAATAAAAGCAATGTTCTGTTTTATTTCTAGTGAGCCATAAAAAAATTGAGATAGATATATTTACTATATCTTCCATTGCTTTCTAAATTGAAATTATGATAATGTCAAATATTAAAACCCAGCATCTGTGTTTAAAACATATTTAATTGTAATGTACGTTTGTTCGAATTAGAAATAAACATAAGGAAACACTTGTGCGAAAGAGAATGTACAAAAATAACGATAGTTTAGTTAAGAAAATATTTTGCTTTACAAATTTTTAATCCTGGTATCTATAACGTGTTTATTGACTATCATTTTTTGTTTGTTCTCAAGAAAATGTTGCACCAAACGCAGGTTTTCGCACATGTCAATTGAAAATCGTGAACAGTGCAATTTGTAAGTACATTTTCAATATTGTGCTACTTACAAACTGCGTTTTATATGAATGTGGTTTACGGCATGATATCTGTCTCATTGCAGTAGTAAATATATGCAAAGACGAAAGTAAAATCCAGGATATGAGCAATTCTGTTTTGATAAAGGCAAATACCACTGAAAACTGTACATGTAAACTTTATGTTACCAATCAAGATCAAGACATTGCAGTTAATATTCAGAAATATGGTCAGCAGACAAGCTCTAGTCCGTCACATTTCGGATGTGGTTTGATACTGGAGTTTGAAATCAGAGGAAATAGCTTTTGGAACGTTCAATGCATAGTTGGTAATATAATTTTCCAAACTCAATAACGAACAACGATGTAATGACAATTCGGTCTGTGGCTGTGAATGGAACGTTAAAACCTAATGAAGGATATTGTATTGAAATAAAAAAAGGTACCATTTTTTTTTAGATAATGCACAGTTATTTTAACTTATGTAACCGATTTCAGTTCCACGAATAATTCACGTACTACTATGAACTACGCAATATATAGCGATTACAACTTGTAAAATCAATTTATATAACAGCATATCAACTTCGAAATAGGATAACAAATAAATTACTAAACGTGAAGATATTTTAAAAATAAAAATCAATATATACCTCGAAAAATGCAATCATCCTGACTTGAAAGCAATTGGTTGAACCATGTTGAAGGTGCAACAACTTCCAGTTGTATGATAGCCATTTCAGTCTTAACTGTGTGAAATAAAGATCCAGTCTAAATTTCTATGTGTTTTTACGTCTCGTAGTAATGGTTTTGATACGTCTAGTAAGCATAGTATTTTCCCTAAATGTTTGAGCATGGTGCGAGAGAATTAGCCACTTCCATATGTGTTTTATCTAAAAAATGGATACCCAATCGGACATTATACACTCCGCAAATTCAAACCGATGCCCAGGAATTGTTGTTTTACGCACAGAAGAAACATTATAATACAGCCGTGCATCTTTTTGGGAGTCCAAAATAAGACTTAATTTGTTTGTGGTTTCATATATACATCAAACCTTAACGGGTTCTATTGGCAGAAAGTAGCAATATCCATTATTCCATAAATATAATGGCTATTATATCTATGATTATACATATGTGTATCTGATACTGATATGCAACATAAAAGGAAAAATATAAAAAATTCCGATGTAGCACACAATACTTTATCAAAACACTTGAAAGCTGTAATGACGATTGAAACCATGCGATGTGGGTTTTAAAAAATTAATAAAAAAAAGTCACAAACAACCTATAAATATATGTAGTTACAATGTTTCGTTTCTTTTATTTCAATGCATTTCAACCAAAGCTTTCTTTGATTAAAATTAAGCAGTGGTCGAATGTACAGCCACCAAATTCCAAACACACATTTAATCAAACCTCTTGAAAGTTGTGATGACGTTTGGAACCACGCGATGTAGGTTTTAAATATCTAACAAACAATCTATAAATAGACGTAGCTACCATGACAGCATGTAAGAGATAATTCACAATTAAAAATACGATAAATCAGGTACAACAAAACTTTAATGATTGTTAAGGTCAGCAACTTTCAACCTATAGTCATGGTCATTGCTACTGGTTATAAGATGAATGAATGTTATGATTTCATTGGAAGCCCTAAATTTTGCAGCAAATCAAGAAAATGTATAATTAGCAAAATGTACTACAAACTATGGACAAAAAACTATTTAAAGCAGTAAATATTATATTTAAACTGACAATAAGCTGCTAAAGAATGTTGCTTGTACATCAAATAATTTTGAACACAGCATGGGCGCAATAAATTTATTTATAGTCATGTATTTAAAATAATATTTTACCAATTAAATAGTTTTTACATATAAAAACATGAAATTAACACTTTTTTAATTTGGTGCGTTCGACCCCTTTTTCTGTATTAGCCTTCATCAGGAACGCTAAAAAATTTGAAAACCAAGGAAGTATAACTATATTAACACGTGAAGAGCAAATGGGGCCTAAAAAAATAGCCAAATCCAGTTAGTATGGTAACAACCAAAGAAATTGACAAGTCATTTTAAAATAAAAAGTAGGGGCAACTTATTTGCGATGACAATTTACAATCTAGTAGACACTATACTTGTGTTCATGCTGTATCACTGTATCATGATATTAAACTCATTTCGTAGGTAAATGTTGTTTTAGGAATAAAAATTTAGCTACAAGTAACTATACGGATACCCAATATGAAAAGGAAATCGATTATATTACTGCTTATAAAAATTAGCTGGCGTGTACGGGAATAAGATACCAAGAGGTAAAAAAACCATAAGTCGAACAAAAGCTACATCAAGTCAAACCACAAAACACTTCCGGCAACAAGGCGTTCGGCGTCACAAAATAGATGATCTGTAATTTTCTTTTCTCTGAACCTAAAACATAACCAACTATAATGCATCAGTACGTGTATTTATATTTCTTGTATGCAATACGAAAACGAATACGAAATTTTTTTCAATGAAAACTGAAGAACAGTCATAAAAATATGCAAGACGTATAGAAAACTAAATATTGAGTAGGGGAAAAACCCAAGCATAATCAATTTCTGTCGTCGGTATGTATCAAGCGTAATCCAATTATAAGTTCTGTGATAAGTACATGTACGAAGGCCCGATTGTAACTTCGAATAGTTTAACCTATATTCATGGTAATCTTACACACACACACACACACACACACACACATATGTGTTTTTAACGGTCATCCAAAGCGATCATTCGGGTTATGGAAGATTGAGATTGGTTTAGTTATTATTCTTAACTAGTTGTACACATCTTGTATCTATAAATTATATTTCATTTTACTGTCCTCATTTGATTTTCTAGTCACTTACTAGGTAAGTGTAGGGCTTATGGTATAGAACCACTAATTCAGGCCCGGTCGGAAAGAACATACAAGAAAGTAGTACATAAGTCAAACAAAATAGTTCCTACGCATAGCTGTATCTTTGTCAATAGTGGAAATATTTGGGTAGTTTTGGTATCAAATGAAACCTTGGGGACTTGGGATCACTGTAGAACTCTTGTTGAAAGTTTATTTTGAATAATAAAGAAGAATATAAAATTATAATAGGAGGGCACATTTGCCCTTTTGTTCAGATCAGAAGTACCGGTTTTTGTATTATCAAACCTCCGGGAACCAGTACGCTCTAATATGCAATTAAAGATATGTTGAATTTTTCAGCACAAGTTTGGATAAGGTATAGTTTTGACATGAAATGACTGCCACTTTATTTGAACTTAGGACAAAGTAGCCATTAATGCTTGAAATTGCAGAATTTAACATAGAAAGCAATGGGGCTATGAATTAGTGGTTTCATACCTTATTAGCAACAAAAATATTGAATTGAATAAAATATAAAGGCAAGCAAGAGAAAAAGTACAAAAAGTAAAAAAACGACCAAATTATAAAGTGCATAATTAAATGGCAAAATATTTTTACTTGTCAAACTAACGTTGTTGTCAAAGTAGAAATTGGTATCACTTCATTTGGAACAAAATTATAGAAAACCTTCGAAATGGCTCCAGAACTGTAAATTCAGAAAATAATTTTTGCGATCAAGGACCCCCGGCAAAAATGCGAGGTTTTACTTTTGCGATTCGCTGAGATCCCATTAAATTTTAAACAGTCGTTGGTCCAAGTTGGTTACGTTTTTTTGCATTCTTAATCGTTTATCAAATGACATAAAACCCTATTTCTGTAATCGAATAAAAGAGATTATTCTTTATTAGCATAGTTTTGAAGGAAATTATAAAAAAACTTTAGGGTATAAAAGAAGACATTTTATTTCCATTCAGTGATGTCACAAGGAGCACAAATTGTTTTAGGAAAAAGTAGAACAAATAAATGTATCTGGGAATAATCCTGTTTATCTAAAATTAAAAACATACTAAAGGGCATATTATTTTTGGTGAGTCTAGGTACCACCATGCCATCCTCGTGTCTAGTGCAGAGTGGATTATAGATCTGTGAGGGGCCTGATGAGGGGGGTGGGGGGGGGGGGTCTCATCACGATTCACGAGTTGATTTTTTTGTCAATCACGATTCACAGAAAATAAATTTCCATGATCACAGATCACGAAAATATAAAAAAAAAAATCTGTAGAAAAACGGATCACGATAGCGAAAATGCGCCGATCACGAAGAACGAAAATAACCCATCAGGCCCCTCATCTGTATTTGCCATTCATCAATAAGTTACAAACAGAAATTATTATATCAACTCTATATTAAGTAACCAGGTCAGTTTCTGGCTAGAAATCATTTGTTTAAAGTTGGAACAGAGTGAGTTAATCTAAGAAAACATGCATTTTCTCTTACAATGTAGTTTACGTTGGTGGGCACCAAAATAAAAAATAAGTTTTTCATCATCAATTGCATTTGAGGTGCACCTGAAACATACGAGGAGTGACGTGATAACGACCTTGCTCTTTTCTTAGACTATGTGACGCAACACACAAGCGAGCGAATTTTCATCCTAGCTCAGGTGATCGTTATATAGTCAGATGTCTTTCAAGACCAAAATTGTCTTGCGAAATTAAAAAAACACAAATTGTCCTATCAAATTCTATATAATTATCTGCCCTTGATTTTAAAAGGATTTATTTCTGAAAATACAAAATAAACTTAACGACATGTACACTTCAATTTTTGAGAGTTTAACCTTAAAATTTCAAGTTTTAGATGTTTCGATTGTATATTGAATGATAAGTGGTAAACTATTTTAAAACAAAATGTATTTTTGCAACATGCTCAGAAAGGATGCTCAGAAAAAGTCACCCGATCTACCTTAAGTTAGATTAAAAAGCTATGGTAGGATTGAAAAAAATGTTAAAAGTCGTCAGTTACTGTTAAAGTTCAGTATAAGTGATCTATGTAGAATTAGGCCTATAAAAGATCTATAATATATAGAGATCGTATAAGTCCTTTATCAATTCAGATTTGTATTGATTTTGGAAAAACTGTTGGTAAAGAAGACAGATTTGCTTTGCTTAGAATAGTAAAATTTAATCTTAAATAATCCAGATCAAATTTAAATGCTCTGCAATTTTGTTCATTCATCTAGTACTGATTTCCAAGACCTCTGGTGACGCTTAGATATTTTATTGTGAAATGATAGGAATCCAATTTGCCAAAACATTTGGTTCTGTCGGTAAAAGACAAAGCTGAGACTCCCGACGGACAACAACTAAAAATAACATAAGTACAATCTTTTTTTTTCTTGCACCATGATTCGCTAAATAAGAATTTTAGTCGAAGGCCTCTTCTGAACAAATTCTGTGAATATTTTAGCATCTCCTTGGCATATCCAATTTCTGTTATATCCCTAACACAGAGATCCTGGGATTATCTATATACACCAGGGTACTC